TTTTAACTTTCTGGATAGTATCCTTTGATACACAAAAGGTTTTAATTTTGTTAAAGTTCAATTGATCTGTGTTTCTTTTTATTGCTTTTGATATCATATTTAAAAGACTTATTAAAATCCAAGATTGTGAAGATTTACACCTATGTTTCCATCTAAGAATTTTATGGTTTTAGCTTTTTGATCAATTTTGAGTTAATTTTGCTATAGGGCATGAGGTAGGGGTCCAACTTTTTTCTTTGGCATTTGGATATGCAAAACCATTGTTGAGAAGACTGTTTTTATCCCCATTGATTGTTCTTGACCTCTTACCAGAAATCAGTTGATGATAGATGTCTGGATTTACTTCTAGACTCTTCAGTTCTAGTGCACTGATTTATATGATGTTTATTTTTGACTACTGTACCTTTATTAAAATTGGAAATTGGAAATTGTGAGTCTTCTAGCTTTGTTTTTCTTTTTCAGCATTATTTTGGCTATTCAAGTTTCCTTTTAAATCCATATGAATTTTAGAATTAGTTTACTCATTTACCAAAATAGACAGCTGGGGTTTTGATAAGGATTGTGTTGAATCTGTAGATGAATTTGGAGAGTATTGTCATCTTAGCAATAATAAATTTTCCAATCCATAAACATGTGATGTCTTTCCATTTATTTAGTCCCCTCCTTTAGTTTCTTTCAACAATGCATTGTAGTTTTCAGTGTAAAAGTCTTACATTTCTTTGTTAAATTGTTTCTAAGTATTTTATTCTTTATATTGCTATTGTAAATTAGGTTGTTTTCTTATGTTCATTATAAGTGTATATGAGTACAAAACTAGTTTTTGTGTAATTACCTTATTTCTTGCAACTTACTTGAACTCGTTTATTAGCTGTAATACTTGGAGTGTGTATGTGTGTTCTTAATGGTTTTCAATGTATAAGATCATGCCATCTGTGAGTAGTGATAGTTTTACTTCATTTACAATCTGAATGCCTTATTTTTCTTGCCTCATTTTGTGTCTAGAACCTCTACTACAATGTTGAATAGAATGGCAAGAGCAGTACTTGATGTCTTCCTGGTCTTGGAGAGAAAGCTTTCAGTCTTTGACTGCCAAGTATGATGTTAGTTGTGTGTCCTGTGTCATACTGAGGATGTTCTCTTTAATTTTAGTGTGTTGAGTATTTTATATCTTGAAACAATTTTGGATTTTATCAAATGTTTTTTCTCTGTCAGTGAGGGAACATGTTTTCTGCCCCCCCCCTTCATTCTATAATTATGGTATCTTGCATTGATTGAGTTTCTTGAGCCACTCTTATTTCTGGGATAAATTCCAGTTGTTGTGGTCCATAATGGGTTTAATATTATTCTGAATTTGATTTGCTAGTATTTTCTGGAGGATTTTTTGTCTGTGTTCACAAGGGATATTTGTGTGTAGTTTTCTTTTGTTGCCTTTGTCTGGCTTTGGTATCAGGATAATACTGGCATTATAGAAGAAACTGAGGAGGGTTCCCTTCTCTTTGTTGTTGTTGTTGTTGTTAAAATTTGAGAAGGATTGGTATTTATTCTTCCTTAAATGTTTGGTTGAATTCACCAGTGAAGCCTTCTGGTCCTGAGCTTTTCTTTCTTGGAATATCTCTACTTCATTTTTGAAGGGTAGTCTTATCAGAATTATAATTCTTAATTGGCAATTCTTCCTTTCACCACTTTGAATATTTCATCCCACTGCCTTGTGGCCTCCATAGTTTCTGGTGGGGAATATCTTCAAAGTTCAACTAGGCAGTTTGCAACTCTGCTGCCTCTTCTTTTTGTGTAGACCCTGAAAGTCAGCCAGAAGTGAGAGCTTAAGGCCTTCCTCTTGCCAGTGTGCAGCCCTGAGCACATGCAGGTATGCCTTCTGTATTCCCAGGAAGGTGCTGGAGGTTTTCAACATTTTTATTCTTCAAAGCATCATTTCCAAGACTTTCTAAGATTTTGGTTAGTCTCTTTTCTCCTCCTTTTCTTAACCATTATCCCAGGCAGCAAGGACTCATGTAATACCTTTGCCTGTAAATATTTTCTGCAAGTGTACCTGGGTAGTTGTTTTAGTTCTGAATTACGAGAAATAAAGCAAGCCCTTTGAGTTGGTCCTCTAGGTAGCCACCAGATAGGTCAAAACAAACAACCACAATTTCTTGTGAACAAGGTCTGTTTTGCTTTCTCTGTTACCTCTGCCTACATTGGGAATATGGGCTGTTTGGTGCCACTGCCGAGCTGGGGTCTGGGGGATGTAACATGGGTAAGTAAAAAATAACACAAAACTCACTTTTCCTATTGATATTGAGCTGTTTTTTAAACTTTAATTTTTTTGTTAATGTTTCCCTGTTGGCTGCAGACTTTTGATTAGTTTTTAGAGTTCTGGAAAAAGTCAATTCTTGATAGTTTTTGCCAGCTTTTTTGTTGCTGTTATGGTGGGATAGACTTTTGATGTACCTTACTCTTCCAGTTTTGATGATGTCATTCCTCTTTTGGAGGCTTTAAAGTCAAGTTTATTTGTATGAAGATAAGAAATGCTTTGATAATCCAGTGTCAGGGCAGAGTGTGGAGGTAGTTTGGTAATGCTGATATCTTATCTTTGTATTTTAGAAGTATTTTATGAAATTATTTCATTTTGACACAGTTTGTGATTTCTATAGTCCATTCTTAAAATGTTGCAATTTCTTAAAATTTTTTGAAAAAAAATGATACTGATTTCTCAAAGGACCAAGTAAAACAATATAGACATGTATATAGGGGAAAAGGGGAGAAGATCACAGAAAAGTCATCCTCTGTTCTCATTTTTGAGGAATAATTTCTATTAATATTTCTATCCAGAATTTTTAATCTCAACATGCAAGCACATTCGGACATACTTTTATGTGTAGGTAACTCACCACTTCCTGCCATTATGTGGGACCATATTGTAATGCAACTATATATCTTGTACTCATACTTCAGGATATCCTTTCATGTCAGTTGGTTTATCTAACTTCATTCTTTTTAATAATCTGAGTAGTTTTGCATCAAGTCAATACAACACAATTTATTCAGCAATGACTTTTTCTCAGATTTAGACTATTTTAAACAATGTTGCAAACACTGTCATAGTGTAAGTATTCTTGCAGACTCGTGAGAATTCCTTTCAAGTAGATTCCTAAAAGGTGAACTAGAGGCTGAGAGATTTGCTAATCTGAAAGGTTAAAAAGAGTTATACATTGATTAGTTTGAATTTCCCTTTTTACTGGTGAGGCTTAGAGTCTTTCCATGTTTGTGGATCATTTCTGTTTTGATATTCTGTGAGTTTCCTGTTGATGTCCTTGCAGTATTCTTGTATTAGGATATCTTTTTTCTTTAAAGAATTTACAGTTATTCTTTTCTGAAATGGTTCATATTTATTCTTCAGTATTCAACTTAAATATGACACCTGCATAGTTTTGCTCCATCATTTTGGTGTATTTCACAGGAACCTGTACATAATAGTTCATTCTTGTTTCGTTGTACAGTGTATTTTTCTACCCTCTGCTTGGTTTAAGATTTTTTTTTCCAACAATTTGGTTATAATGTACCTTTGGTATGATTTTAAGTCTCTTCTTGGAGTTTGTTGAACTATCTAGATCTTTGGTTTTATAGTTTTTCTTTAGAAAAAAATTGCCCATTATTTCCTTAAACATTGTGCTTTTCTACTTGTGCCATTTCTCTTCTCTCTTTTGGGACTCCAAGTACACCTGTTTGAGATTGCTTGATATTGTCCCAAAGCTGATTAAGGTTTTTTTCCCCACAATTATTTCAGTCTTTTTTCCTCTCTGATCCTTCATCTCCTGAGACCTTCCTAAGAGGCCTCCTGAGACCTTCCTAAGAGGCTGAAATGCATCTCAGAATTGTCAGGCAGGGAAACAAAAGAGGGAAGCATTTATCCCTACACTTCCAGGCTCTGAATAAATGAACACACAAGAATTCCCACTGGAGTCTCAAACTGTACAGTGGCCTTTTAGGTACTGCCACTGAAAATCTGCATTGAATGGTCTTCATAGCAGTGGCTGGAATAACGGGTGGGCTGAGAGGCTTTTGAGGTGATAGACAGGAGATGTCCAGTACTCTCCTTGTGGGTATGGTTGGGGAAATGATAAAGTGTTGAGGTTTATTGGGTAAGGAGGGAATTAGGTATCTGAGTCTACTATAGTAGCATCCTACTCTTTTTTTTCCCTATCTCTTGTTTTTCTACTTTCCACTTTATCTTGCATATTTCATTAACCTTCGCTGTTAGCTTGCTGCTCATAGACATATTTAAATGTTTCCTTACTTTGAAGCTTTGCTATTTAGGAAGTTCAATTAAGGCAGCTCAGTCAAAGGCAGAACCAGATAAATAAGACAACAATGAGTTAGATATTCCAGGGCAGAGGGTCTAAAAATAATTTTTCTGTTACTCTCAAGTAGGAACCTGAGTATAATGTAAATGGTTTGTAAGTACTTGTGAAAGTATAGGATAGAGGGCTCTGGATCAGATTGCCTAGACTTAAATTCCTAATTTTTTAACTTTTTAGTTGTATGATATTTGACACCTACTTCATACCTGTATCTTAGTTTCTCCATTTGAAAAATGAAGATAATACCTCCATCAAAGTGTGTTATGAAAAGATTCTATGAGTTAATAAATATGAGATATTAAAAATAAGGCTGATCTGCTTATAAATTCTGTTTAAGTATAATTAGTATTATTTTTGATAATTGACTTGATTGAAAAAGTATAATTGTTTCAGCAGAATGCATGTGTATGAATATGTGTGTTGACATTCTAGTTTGTATTTTTATTTTATTATTGTGAGAGTTCCTGAAATAGTGAAACATATTTAGTTAGTAGAATTGTGTATCTATTTGGTTTAAATTCTATTTTAAAATATTTTTAATGTGTACTTTTTCTTTCCTTATAGTCTAGTTTATTTTATATGTTGTTTGTAAATGCTTTTTAATATATTACTTGCTGTTATTCTTTCTATTTTCTTATGCAGGACCAAAAGGTCTCAGATTGCTATAACTGAAGGTATATTTGAACTTCCAAATCTCACAATTCAAGCTACAAGAGCACAGACACTTCTGCTTCAAGCAATATATCAAAGTTGGTCTCATATTGGAAATATCAGCTCTTCAGCAGTGAATGAAGCTTTGATGAATGAAGTTTTCCAAACTATAGGTAAGAATAGTCTTTTTGACAAGTGTATGGAAAATTCTTATTAGAGATGACTGATATTCTGTCGTTCAAACCCATATGTGTGGCATGTTCAACTTAAATTGTAGTATATTTCTGTGAAAGCAGATATGTATAGGTCCTGTGTAAAATCCAAGATATAAGTTAAGCCATTCAATCTTTTTCTCTGCCACCAATTTGTGGATACGTTTTATAGTTCAAGAGATTATTTTCACCAACTCCTTGTACAATTGACCTTTTGGCCTTACTTGGATAACTTCTGAGGGGATCAGTATGCATGTTTGAAATGATAACCAAGTCAAGTATAAATATAAATATTTGATTATGGTGGTAGAGTGGCATGAAATTCTTGATATTATAGAATACATTAACACTTGGTAAGCAAATTATTCTTTTTGTGTGAAAATTATTAGTATTTCACCTTGGATGAATTAACTACAGAAAATTAAAAATCTGCTTTGATGCCTGTAAAAGAGATATTATCTTCATCTTATTATTCGCTTTGTCAGTAAGCAAAAAAATGTTACAGAAGACTTGCTTCTTTAGTTGTTTCAGCTCATAATAATTATGTTACTTTTGTCAGTGACACAAAAGAAGGATATATTAAGTGTAATCATGCTTAAAATAATAACATTTTTATTTTCTACTTCATTTATCTGTTGAAATATTAGTTTTATTTTTACATGATGCTTTTGAAGGTTTTAATTTCAGACCTTACTATAGGGAATATATTATAAGGTCTAAAAAATGCATTTTTATTTGAGTCTTTTCGTTTGATACAGCCATTGCCTAATGTGGAATTTTATAGTTGTGTCAGGTTTTAGGATTTTATGAAGAAATGACAAATGTTTCATTAATTTAGAAGTTCTTAACTTGGGGTTTATGAAAAGGCTTTGAATACTCTGAATTTCCTGAAATAGTATGCAAATCTTAGTGTGTGCATAAACATATGTCCCCCCAACACATATTTATGTTCTCTTCTTAAATAGATTCATTTATTAAATGTGCCGAGTCTGTTCTTTATACAGTCTTTTGAGTTGTATCTATTTTTTCTTCTATTAACATTTATAATTAGCTTTTCTTTGGTTGGTATTTGCTATATTTTGCATTCTTTTACTTAAAACCAATGTTTTTATGCTTTACGTGTATGTCTTAGAAATAGCATACAACTGGATATTTTAGATCAAATTTCATAATCTGTCTTTTATCTAGTAAATTCAATCTACTTATATGTGTGATTGTAGTTTTTTTGACTTTGTTTCTGCTTACTATCTTACTATATTGTTTCCTTTTATACTGTTAGCTACAGTGCTTCTTAAAAATACTATTGTTTCTTAACTTACCTCTTTCTACTTGTTTGGAATTGTATACTCTTATTGAATTACTAACTTAAAAATAACTGATGTTGCTTTGGAAAACACTTTGGTAGTTCTTCAAAAAGTTAAATTAGAGTTACTATATAACCCAGGTATTTTACTCCTAGATGTGCACCCAAGAATTGAAAACATATACCTGTGTAAAGTCTTGTACAGGAATTTGTAACATTATTCTTTTTTCCTTTTGCATGCAAGTTTATTTTTTATTAATAATTTTATATATTTAAGGTATGCAATATGATATTTTGATATACATGGTTAAATGATTACTACACTCCAACTAATTAACAGATATGTCCCCTCACATAGCTACTATTTTTTTTTCCCTGTGGTGAGAGCACCTGAAATTTACTCTTAGCAGATTTCCACTATACAGTACAGTATTATCAACTATAACTATCATTCTCTACATGAGATTTCTAGAACTTACTCATCCTGCATAACTGCAGCTTTGTCTCCTTTGACCAGCATCTTTCATTTCCCTCATCTCCTTGCCCCTGTAAATACTGTTCTACTCTCTGCTTCTATGAATTCGACTTTTTAAGATTCTGTATGTAAAGGAGATCACATAGCATTATTCCTAATAGCCAAAAGGTGAAAACAACAGAAACATCTGATGAATGGATAAAATGTGTTATATATGTACAATGGAATGTTATTCAGACATAAAAAGGAGTGGAGTACTGATATATGCTGTGAATGAACCTTGAAAACATGCTAAGTGGAAAAAGCCAGATGCAAAAAGTCACATATTATGATTCCATTTATATGAAACACTTAAAATAGGCAAATCCACAGAGACAGAAAGTAGATTAATGATTGCCAGAGTTTGGAGAAAAGGAGAACTGGGGAATGACTTCATGAGTTTCTTTTGGGGTGATGGAAATGTTTTGCAATTAGATAGCAGTAATGTCTTCATACTTGTGAATCTGCTAAATTCCATGTAATTGTACGCTTGTAAAAGGATGAATTTTATATTTATTTTATTTCATTCAAAAAATCATTTTAAATTGATGAATATTTAAGTGGACTAAATTTTGTGTTATGCTCTGAATGTTTACATTCCACCAAAGTTTACATGTTGAAATTCAGTGCTCAAGGAGGAGGACGGGCCTCTGGGAGCTGATTAGATCATGAGGGCAGAGTCCTCATGAATGAGATTGATGTCTTTAGAAAGAGGGTCCAGAGAGGGCTCCTTTGATTCCTCCACCACGTGGAGGAAGTAGGCAGCCTTCAGCAGGAAGCGGTTCTCTTCGGAACCTGACTGTGCTGGTGCTCTGATCTTGGGCTTCCAGCCTCTAGAATCGAGAGAAATAATTTTCTGTTGTGTATCTGCTGTACAGTCTGTGGTATTTTGTTATTAGAACCCGAATGGACTAAGACAGTGTTATTGCCATTGTTTTATGTGGAGTTACTGTGTGAAACCTCTTCTTTTAGATCCTCACCCTTAAGGCCTGTGGTGAGGCCTTTTTTGGTAGTAGCATTTTTCACTGTATATTATTTTGTTTGTCAAATTTGTTTCCTGTGATGTTCTCTCCAGAAGTTTGTTTGTTTAATGTCTCACAGTATTAATCCACCCTTATTTATTTAAAATTTTTGTTTTTGTCAACTTAGTCTAAAAATTCATATTAATAAGCAGGTGGTGGTGGTATTGACTTTTATAATTTTTTCCCTGACAAACTCATTCTGCATTTTTTTCGGAGTTGATCAAATGGACTGTGCTAGGCAGATTCTATGTAAAAGTTTTTATTCTGTAAATATTCTATCCTAATAGAATGCTGCATAGATATTAAAAAATGGGTCAGATAAGTACACAGAACAAGTGATCCATAACCTGATATGCTGACATTGAAAAACCTAAAATTAGTGGAAATAAGTTTTTGGAGATTAGAGGAGTTGAGGAAAATGGAATAATGTTAGGAAGTTTCATCTCTTCACCAAGGAATCTTAAATTTATGAAACGAAGCAGCTATAAAATTTATAATAGGTAAATTAAGAGTTAGCCAAAATTTTGTTTTGAAAATCTGGTTTCCAAGTGTCCAATTTCCTTATGTCTTTTTTTGCTCCCCCCAAATCTTATTCTGTTCATTTTATTCTTAACATAGTGCTTGCTTATAGTATTTCTCTAAATTTTCTGTCTTAAGATCCAAGAAGTATGTATTTAAGGTGTAAAGTTTATAGCATTTTATTGTCTTACATCTGTGGGCTGTCAGTAGACATCATTCAGCACTGTTAAGCTTTGTGTATGTTTGGTTTAACCAGGGATCTTTTGCTTTACATTGCAGCTACTTCTCATTTATTACATTAATGAAGTGATAATGCAGGATTATGTACATTCTTCAACTTCTCAGATTTTTATTCTGATAATGTGTGGAAGAAGAACCATTATTCTTCCATTCTACAGTTGACTGTAAGCTAAGCACTTGTCTTCAGTGTTTCTGCCTCACCTTTCATGATAATCGTATACCTCTTGCCTACCTTCCTACTTCTTGCTGTCTTTTTATTGCTAGTTGCTAACCCACAGCATCAGTCTCCTCCTGTCCATCACCTTCATGGCTTTTCCCTCTGTCTCTGTTGAACGTAATTTTGATTTGATAACATTCTCCTACATTTTTCTCTTTTCTTTGATAACTAGTTCTTTAACACAAGTCGACACAGTTTTTTCCTTTCCTGTAGTTCAGGAAACTGTAATCTGCATTATAGTCTGCGGGTTCCATAAAAAAATTACATTTTTTTCCACATTTATGCCTTTGCCCAGGTTTACCCTTCTACCCCATGCCAGAAGCGTTTTATTTCGCTTGCTCTCCTCCTTCGCATTCCTCCTGTTCAGTTTTTCAAAACAGCGTTATTGAGGTATAAATCACATACCATACAAGTCACCCTTTTCAAGTAGGCAGTATTTAGCCTGTAGTATATTCAGAGCAATGTCTTCATCACCACAATCAATTTGAGAACATTTTCTTTACCCCAGAAAGAAGTCTCACATTCTTTAGCCATCGCTTCCCAAGCTTGCCATGCCCCCCAGCCCTAAGCAAACAATAACCTGCTTTTTGTCTATGGATTTGCCTATTCTGGGCATTTCGTATAAACAGATCACATAAAATACAGTCCTTTGTGACAGAATTCTTTCACTTAGCATACTGTTTTGAAGTTCATCCATATTGTAGCATTCATCAGTTTCTTTTTATTGTCAAATAATATTCCATTGTATGTATATACTATTTTGTTCATCCATTCATCAGTTGATGGACATTTGGGTTGTTTCCACTTTGACATTTATGAATGATGTTGCCGTGAACATCTATGTACAAGTTTTTGTGTGGACATACGCTTTTATTTCTCCTGGGTAGGAGAAGTAGGAGTAGAAGTGCTTGGTCATATGGTAACTGTATATTTAACCTTTTGAGAAATTGCCAGCCTGTTTTCCAAAGCAGCTATATCATTGAATATTCTTAGCTGTAGTGTATGAGGATTCCATTTTTTTCCCACATCCTTACCATACTGCTATCACCTGTTTTCTGGTTCCAGCCATCCTATTGGTTGTAAAGTAGTGTCTCACTGTGATTTTGATATGCATTTCCCTAATGGTTAATGGTTTTGGCCCTTTGT